CAGCGCAGTAACAAGACGCACGAATAAGTCCACAGAAAAAGAAAACGGTTAGTCATTCGGAACAAATCGACCACTTTGAATAGCAGTGCACAAGAAAAGGCCAATGATTCGGAATGTGTGTGAATAATGGATAGTGACAAATTATGCTTGGTTTAATTGTCATGACGCTGGTTTGTGTTGGCTTGTGGCATTGGATCACCAGATCACCTCAACCAAATCTGAGACGAATCGATTTGACTTGTTCTTGACCAGACTAGGAATACACTGCCTTCCAACACTATATATAGGGAGTGACGCTAGACACCGGATCTTAGTGGCACTCTTCAGTGTTTTCCACCACTCTTCTGGCTTGGACAGGGTGTAGTATCTTGACCGTATAAAACAAACGCAAATTTCAGCTCAGAATTGCACTGAAATGATCAACGGGAGCGTTTCAATAACAAATCCGCATCCGTAGCGATCATTCACTGCCAGCCAATCGCTACACATGCGGGCAGAAATGATCGGTATCGGAAAACAATTTTCCCGTACTTTTTGTACTGATGCACCGCTAAGCAAATCGTCCCCCTCCCAATTTTCTGGGATAAAAACATCAATACCCATGTACTGCACACGGTCCCCACTGTGTTAAGCAATCAAGTGCATTTGGGGGGGGGGAGACATTCTTGCGATATCCAATGCGATTGCATCATCAAACGGGGCGCGGTGTGTGTGTGTGTGTGTGCACATATGAGCATGTTGATCAGATAACTGGTTGTTTGATGAGACAAAGCAATCATATCAGACCTTTTGGTGTCCATTCCAAGTCTGCCAGACAGGATAATTCAGATTGAGAAGATCCATGTCCACAACTGAGGGAGATTCGCATCGCACCCCCGTCCTAATCCAGCTTGTTTCAATCATAGAAAACCGGTCAGACAATGCTGATCATTGTTTCTATAGTGTTTAGCCTAGACAAACATTTACTGGATTGTAACTCATCTGCCAACAGGACGCGAACCAAACCAACAAACGAACTATAGATCCGAACAAGTGTCAAGTGGTAGTCAGTGAGCAGTGTTTTTCGCTGTTGTAGTTGTTGTTTCTGTTGCTGCATAACTGAATAGACCAATTCATATGATTTTTGCTATCTCTAAGCTAGTTCTGTCGTGCGGATAAAAATCCGTGGTAATCGTTCTCTGACATGCAAAGGTGTAATTAGTACAAACCTCGGTGCATGCGACGGTGGAGGACGTACATCACAATATGATGTACATTGCACAAAGTTAACGGTCCGGACCTAGTTCAGAACAACTGAACTATGGTGTAAAGACGTGAACAAAAGATGCGATCTGCTAACCGCGGTTCGGAGGTCCTTGACTTGTTGGAAGAGAGGGGGGCGATGCGGAGATAAAGATTATCACACACACACACACACATACACACACAACCCCTAGGATCTATGCCCGATTTTCGGCTCATATAAAACAAAGCAACTGCGGAGTTAAATATCGAGCAACATTCTTTGATTATTTTGTAGTGAGCAGTAATGAGCAAGATCCACTTACTACACCGACTGGGCAGTTAGTTGATCAAACCCCTATTTTCCATTGAACTGTTAATTCGAATGTGCAAAGATCAGTGCTGACGATGTGGCTTCTTGGCTTAGTTGGTAGAGCATGTGATGTACAATGAATTAGGTGGTCTTCATGCGTGGGTTCGAATCCCAATACATAGGATAATATCCCAATGTTCTCTAGTAAAAATCTCTGTCTCATCTTGAAAATAAGCCCAGGGTTAACCCTTGTTCGGAAACAATCTGAACAGTCTGCTACCCGAGACCAACGGGGATTTTGTTCTCCAAATAGGTCGAGGAAATTTCAGTTCTTTTGTGGTCCAATTTATTTATGACATTCTCAAACACAAACAGTTATGATATTGTATTTTATTGTCATTTGTTCTCAAATGGACAAATCGATTAGAGTTAACAGACAGTCAACTAACTGACTATCTCCGAAGATGACACCGGAACAAAATTGAATTCGGTTCAGCTCTTGCTTGAGCTGGTTGGCACAGTGGTAAAACAAACCCCTTCCATTCGAAGAGGATCAGCGTTCAAAGTCCCGACGGAATGTTGGATATACACTACTACTGATGAGCTCTAATAAGAACGAAACTCGAGTCTGGTGCTTCGGAGTCTATGTTTGATTGGAAGAACTGACTAATGTGCGTGAAGATGAGCTCTGAAGGATAGTCAATTCTAATCAATAAATATCGATTGTCTTACATCCCTACTCATCTGTGAAAGAGATATGGATTATCATATCCTTGTTTATTTGTATGGAAATTTGATCTTTCATTTATGTGTAATATGTTCCAGTTAGTTAGTTATTGCAGGGCCGTATCGATTTTTGTATATCCCGTATCCCTTGCGGTAAGCTGCCTAAGTTGTGCTCAACTCAATTGGGCTTGCGAAATACACGAACGAGTGATCAGAAAGAAGCTGAGATTTACGTTAAGCGCTATCTATACGGCTTAAAATGATCCTATTCGAAAAGCTACCACTAGAACTGCAACCTAACCAACAGAAGAGGCTATTCAGCAACTCATTCACTGGATAAAAGGCGGTTATTGGCCCGAACATATCTTGAACACGATTTTTCGATGAATGATTTGCCCGAAAACAAACGATCCGATAATTTGATTTAACAAAAATAAACGGCAGTCTACACCACCTCACCCCGCACAACGAATCATGGTCGTGGTTTGTTCATCCTCTTCCCAACACAAATTTATTGATCCGCTGCTGAACAG